TGACACACACAAGATCGTCAGCTTATTTCGATGTTAACGGGGTACTGGTTATTGGAGAATCAAGGAGTTCAGAACGATGGGAAATCAGGAGCAACTACTGGTACCGGTACGTTTAAGGAGAGTGATTTAAAATAAGTTAAAGGAGTATCAGCATTTTAGAGACTCAATGTTATTTCACCGCTGATTGATAAAAGGTGCGCCTGTTATAAAATACGCTAAGATCCTTTAAGGTAAGATAATTACAGAAAAATCGCGACCGTAGTATTGAAAATATCAGGCTATTTTGATTAAATAGGGATGGACTTCATCATGATATCAATAGAGCACAAAGGCTGAAAGGAATGTGCTACAGAATTAGCTCTACTTCACGATTAATGTTCCATCTTGACAGCGAATTAACATCAGCGATAAACCAACTACTTTAGATACACAGGATAAGAATAACACAACAAGGTTCAGTGAAAAAAGTTAGCACGCTTTGTACAACAGACCCCATCCCAACCAATTCTAGAGTTGACTCAGCTAGCTGAACATCAATCGTCCAGGTGTTGGGTTAATCTGTCTCCCTCAGCACAGACCTCTGCACTGTTGGTTCCAATTACTACCAGAAAATGGAAGACTTCAAGTACGAAACCAAATTTAATCGAATTCGCCTTGGGGCCATGCTACTTACTGCATTCTTGTGATTAGTCGAATTCACAGTATCAGCCATGAGTTCGAGATGAGCAGAATACCGTATATACGGTGCGAGTTTGTTATTGTTACTTAATTAACTTAAGTACAAGACCTTCGCAAAACAAAATTATAAATTACGTATCTGAAAAAGCCAACTGACGTAGAATGACAACGCCAAGACTATTCAACTACATCTAGTAGTGGATAGATGACAACTATTGAGCCTTTATTGTAGCAATCGCAATGGGCTAAGGGACCTTCAGACCAACTTAAAGCCATCCTATCAATTGCATACCAACAATTGACATTAACTTCCAATCAGCGAATTGCTTCCGATATGGTTTTTAAGTGCATTTAAAAACGCAGAAATATTGAATAGATTTGACTGCAACAGTACTACATAAAAAATGAAGGCCGGCCATCAATTCTTAAGTCTTATCAAAAGTCAAAGTGACGTAACTTCTGCTTTGGAAACAAATTTCGGTACCTTAGCACAAACACCATTCCGAAATGGTGCATTAAACCACCAAAACAGTCCTTACTCCCTGTCTATGCTTTCTGACCACCGAAGGAATGCAGCCTCCACCTTCGAAGTACAGTTGCGAGGGCTAGCTTTCAAGACATCTTCCAGGTTTTGAACACACTCTTCATTACCATCAGTCAGAGCAAGATATTTCAACGTAGAACAAGTTGCAGCCATCGCAATACCACCAACTCCCAAACTTCCAGCAGCTAATTCCACAACACGCTGGCATGTGGATGGAAATTCAAGGTGATGAAGCACGTTAAGAGGGTTTAAAAATATGTAGGCAAGGAGGAGTTCACATGGCCATAATAAAACTGCGACGCCTGTACGATCGAAACCTACTAGATCCACCAAATTGCACAGCCGCGAGAAGGATCTCGGAACGCCAAGAAGCAGAGAATGTGATGATTGCGATGCTGGGAGAAATCGGGGGGAAAGCCGCCAAGTAACAGCCGCTGACGATTCCTCAATACGAGAGACTTCAAAGAGACCAAAAATATTGGCAGAGGAGAAGCAGTTAAGATCCGTATTTGATACATCACCACGTTTCAGAACGTAGCTTTGAAGAAGGCGCCATCGATGTTTGGCGGACTTTGCACTCATTAAATGATTATACCAGGAGAAGGAAATTGTTCGTAAGAACGAATACAGTAGCAGTAATAAATCCGAATGGAGATAAACAGCTTATTAACACATCAGATCTCGTGCTGACGTCCGTTTGCAATTATGGAACGGCGAAACACGGGCGCATGAATACACAGATCTTCATAGGATAAATCATAAAACAAGGAATGGAAGCACGGGAATCAATTTCGATAGCAAGAGAAGAGATCTGAAAACAAATGGAAGTACTAACCAGATGACCTAGCTGTGCTGTCACGTAAGGCTAAATGGAGAAACTAACATCCGGAAACAAGGTCAACCTAGTATTCATAAGACGACCTACAATGTGCCTTTAGGTTAAGTCATTCAAAATGGAAAGTCTGATAAGGACGCCCCTTAAATAGATTATGCGACATGCATCTCAGCCCCAAAAGTTTAAAGCTATCGAACCTATCTGTGGACATACCAGATGTAAGAATATCTTTTAATGAAAGCGTGGGTTGCAGAAGCGAAATTAATTCAAGCCAGAATTATTGCGCGTAATACTTTACACGACCAATTGATGTTTGGCTAAGGCTTTGATAATTGTTTTGCTTTTGTATGTGTGAACTGGTCACCGAGTCAAACGAAAGTGCAGTTTCTTCGCCTCTACGCATCGATGCATTCAGCCCGTACTACCTTCCTAAACCCAGTGAGAAGTAATGGGGCTCCACATTACGCACTTGCGTACTAAAAAATTGCATATGATGTCGCATATAAAAAGTTACAACAGTTGCCCATAAATGAGGCGATTACCTGATGTCCACTTGCTGGCTATGGCTTCAGCATCGTCAAAAATTGGTTACCTCAAAACCGCCCTATCTAACATTGTTTTTCTTAAAAGTCTTTAATTTGTGTGGCCCTTGGATGCGTAGAATGGCCTTCGGACCATGCACCTTACTAATTCTTCTACCCGGCTGGAAGTCTCGTGACGCTAAAACATTTGCATAGACAGCCTAACAGTTAGCATCGAAGTGTGTGACAACGATCACTACAACAATCACCCCGCTTTAGACTTCATAGTCTGACGCCCGGCCCAATCCATGTTCCAATATTTTCCCCTTCCTTGAATAAAAATAATAAACCCTAATTAATGCTTTTTTCACCCAATCGAAATCTCGAGGCGTTATGCTGGCTGCAGCGGAGAGCAAATACAAATGTTTTACGACTTTTACTGTAATGTTCGCCGTTTGGGACAAGCTTCATCAGTGTGATTAAAGTGGTACACTGCAAGAGAGTGAATGCTTTATTTCTTCACGAGCGAAGGGCTGAGGACGGCGTCTACATTTGATATCTTCTTAATAGTCACGATCTACATGCAAGCTATTTATAACCGAGCAGACATCAACGCAAACCATTTTTAAAGGCGTCGTTTTAAAGCTTTCTTAACAATGTCCACGTATTGATGTTGGATGTCATATTAAGCTGGATTCCAATCCATGCTGTAGCGTCCCGAGGCTCCAAATGGGGTAGTAGAAGACATAAGTGGGGTTGAATACATGTATTCCGAAAACAATAGGAGAAGTGGGGCCTGAGCATGACCCGAAGGCCAGCCCACGTGTACAGGGCCCAGACAAGTCCTAAAGTGGCCGCCAAACGTCAGATAGTCACATAAGCAAAGCATTACACATGCTGACTATATTGCCAAAATTCTACTTTAGTCCTAGACTCAATCAAAGGTTGATGGACGAGGCCTCTTATTTTCACAGATTTTGGGGCTGATTTAAACCCCGTACCAGTTAGAACTGAATTTGGGTGGGTCCTTTTTATTCTCTAAGTCCAGTAAGTGGGTGACTTGCGCAGCTAGCTATTTATAATGCTTTGTTTATGCGACTACGTGACGTTTGGT